GCGTTGACGGTACAAGTGAAAAAAAATCGGGAATTACAGCAATCAATTTACTGAGTATGTTTGCTTAGTTTCCAGATGTTTTGTACTTGTAGTTTTTAAATGAACGAAAACCGATGCGCGCACAGATGTTACTTTTGTGACAACATCAAAGTGATTTTGGTTTGTATGTTGAAAAAATACAAAAGACTAACATTCGAAGTTATTGAAATTCTTGAGTAAGAACAATCAGTTTTGGGATGTTAAAAGCAAAGCAATGGATATTAAAACGAAAATGTTAAAATTAAATGTTGAAATTGTTAAAATGTAAAATGGTTAAAATGGTTAAAATTGTTGAAATTGTTAAAAATGTTAAAATTGTTAAAAATTGTAAAAAGGATAATTAAAAATATCCAGTGTACCGGGGTTCGAACTCGTAATGTCTGGACTTGCAGCCCTGCGCGTTACCAACCGAGCTATCTGGACACGTTTCCATTACTCTCTGCATTGTATGTCATATAAAGTGAACAACATGGCGGTAACGATCGCTTCAAATACTAGTAAGGGACTTTCTAGGAGATAGCGTTACACTCTACAATTTTGGTGATTCTTCAGAAATCGATAACAGAATATATAATACTAGTCGGTGAAGATTGTGGAAAATTGTTGATACCGTGGCGCGCGCGCGTGCGCCGACGATACACATTACGTACCGTTGTTTACAGTACTCGCGGGGCGCAGGTCATTGACCTCCCGCTTGCGTTGTTCCAACAGAGAAGAGCAAAATATCTGCCAGTTTTTGCGTCAGATTTTCAGTGTTTGTTAAAATCATATACAGGCATCCATGCAGATATAATTCTTCCAACTAGTTCGTAGTTATGTGAAATGTTTATAGGAATCACACGAATCGGTATCCAATATCAGAGTATCATGGCCCACGGCCGAGACCGCGTGGACCAGCTGCGCTGGTACGTGAAAATGGTAGTAAATAAATTAATTAGCCAACAGCCAATCAACAGCCACATCTGCAAACATGACCACACCTGCTTGTATGCCCATATTTGGGCCTTCCCCCGAATTCCTTTCTTATTACGTCACGCGCGTACGCCCCCACAGTACTTTCCTATGGGGACCACTAAAAAGCAAATAAAACGATTGTAAAAGCTTGTATCAAAAAATTTAAAAAACGCCTAAGGGTATTTACCCACTCTACCTCTATACGAAATTACAGGTAATTTCGCCCAAAAATGAAGGAGTTGAATCAATTTAAAGAAGTGGCAGGAGGAGGAGAAGGAGGAGGAGAAGAAACATCAGAAAAAGCAATATGGGTTCACCACCACTTCGTGGTGTGGTGAACCCATAATAAATAAATTGAAATTGAAATTTGCTGTACTCACCAGGTAAGTACAGAACCTTATTGCATGTACATACAGCACGTTATGGAAAAGTGCATGTCCCTGTCCTGGTCCCATCCTGGTCCCTTGAGGACAGAGGTCCATGCTCTGGCTCTGAATGTGACCGTGACTGCTCCCCGTATAACTGGTGTGGGCACACCGCAGCTCACCGTGACAGGGTGGGTTGTGTCGACTACCGGAATGAATGTGTGTGTGTGTGTGTGTGTGTATGTGTGTGTGTGTATGTGTGTGTGTGTGTGTGTGTCTGTGTGTGTGTGTGTCTGTGTGTGTCTGCATCATTAAGAACCAGCAACAATGCATTTGCATACAGGTGAGAGTTAAGTACACAGGACTCCATGTTGGCAGTTCTACTAGCTCAATGATATAATTATGGCGTCTTTGTCAAAATCTGAACAAGACTTTCACTGATGCTGACCCTGTCTTCAGATTGAGCATACATGTAGCTCTTACATAGGCACACTAAGACATCTCGACAGTTACAACATCACAGCTAATACTTTTGGAGACCAAGTGCTACCAGTATACATGTAGATTTGATTCAACATTTCAGTCAACTTCTCGATCACAATGTACAACAGTCAATCTTTTCTTCATTACACACATAGCAGCATTCTAGCCAAGTGCACATCACTGGTATCTTTTGTCTATTCTAGACTATGGTCTGGAGTACAAAAAATAACATTCTTCCGTATCTTGTTTAAACATCAATACTATAGAGCACAGTATTATCCCTTTCCAAAACTAGATAGTAATGTTGGTATTTCATATGACAAGCGGCTCAATACAATCTATCACTACAGGTATGAGGGTAGGAGGAAGAAAGTGAGCATCAGCAGAACGTACTGTGCCTGCGCAAAACCCAGATTTTTCAGAGTTTGGTAATCACTCACTGTCACACTGAAATGTTTGGTTACGGTAGTAATGCATCTCTGAATGACTATTGCCCCAAACAGTAGAGAGAAAACTGGGGTTCAGAGTAAAAGGTATTCAAGTATTGTAACCCTTGCTCCAAAAGTAGCTGTTACACAAGTAAACACGTGAACACGGTGCTCTTATGCATAAAACTACAAAACCCCTACAATTACCTTTTTTTTGTTCACTACCTAAAATTGCTTTAAGTATATGGCTGGTGAAGAGTGCAGAATGTACAAAATGTATATTTACTATCTGCACTGTCTTTACTCTTTTAATTATAATTTTGGAATGTCTGGTTCCTCTAATTTCTCATTTGGCATATTCCGTGGGTACTTTCATTCATTTTCCACATTTAGATAAAGATGTAAATTTATATAGTAGCATCTTGAATAACACAAAACTCCAAAACCAATAATTCCACACAGAAGCATCAACATTACATTTTACATGAAAATAACTGTCAGGCTTCCCAGTCAGTCTTGTCTGTATAATTATTAGCCACTGCAACATCAACATTTGTGCATGTATGACGCAATACTCATTGGTACATTTTCACTCAGAATTGCACGATAAAAATATCTATTACATGTACATGGGTATTATAATTCTATATGATGGCATAGTATTGGTGAACCATACAGCATATATCCTCTTTGCTTCTCAAGCTTTTCTTTTACCTTTTTCCTCACTTTTATTATGCACACATCAGGCAAGGAATACTAATTACAAATATACTTTGTTTCAGTTTTTACAACTTCCTATTAACAATTACACTAAAAATATAATCAACTTTTTCGAATAGATGGCATCAAATAACTATATATAAGCTAGGGGTGAAATAATGTACAAAATGCATTCTTAGAACACAAACTTAACAAGCGATTCAAGAAAGCAATAATAGGCTTCTCAAAATCTCCGCTCTTAAGCAAGGTGAAATAACACAAAGACGTCAAAATTCAATTTCAAATTGATAGAACAAGATATCACAAACTGTCTCACAAGACAAACAGACTCTTATTTATAATAAATGTAGACTATTTCCAACCTAACAACCAAAGGTGCACAGAGCTGCAGTACACTGTAATTCTGTTGGTGTTCTTGCATACGATTAGCTGGAACTGGAAAATCCAGGCTTGTGATTGGTTGTTTAGAATGGCAGATGTGCAATGCAGTAACTCTGTGTTCTTCCATACGATTGGCTGGAACTCACAGATCCAGGCTTGTGATTGGCTGCTTAGAATGGCAGACGTGCGGTGTCATACTCATCCACGTCATCATCATCATCATCATCTCCCTCCTCCTCAGCATCCAGCTGGAAAGAAAAGACAAAATAGCAGCTTAGTGTGAGGCTTTTTTCAAATTATACTTATAGGAAAGGAGCTGTGTTAGATGTAATGGTTAGCTGTTGATGCCAATAGTTTCTGCTGAATCTGCATCATTGACATCTTCAATGCCCACCTTTTTTGGGTGAGCAAAATGGTAGCCCTGTGACACTTGGTAGTGTCATCTTGTCTGCACTGACAGTGCCAAATCTGTCTGTGCTCAAAACAAAGTTGCACTCTTCTACACACCTTTTCTGTGCATTGTTGGCAGTTACAATCTTGAAATTCTGTAAGTCAAACCAGTGGGAAGTTATGGCCAATAAAGTACTTACAATTACAATTACAAAAGTTCTTACAATTCATGGACCTGTTGAAAACTATGAGGTGTGTTAGGAAGTGTTGTGTGCAAAGCGTTACATTTTTACATCTGACAACAACGTACAGTAAAAGCCACAGAAAATTTACATGTAGGAGCCAAGACATTGAACATCCAACAGATGGGCTCTACAGCTATATATGTTAGAAAAACATCCCACAGCACTGACAGCAGCCACATCTAGCTAAGACTTGCACAGGCTTGGTTAATGTTAATATTACCTAAGAATAGTTAATGTTAGTTTCAAACACCGTTGCTAATAGTATTATGCAGTGTATAGTTGATAGATGGTGAGTTTAGCTTGTAATAAACCATGAGCATTGATTTCATTGACAGAAGGAATCTAGCTCAACCTATACAATGTACCTATTTTCTTCTGCTACTATGACGTGTTTTAAAAGCTAAATACAATTAACTAAATTTCATCATGTTTCGAGCTCTAATAATGAAACAAAACACTCTAAGATATTAATCAGTGCATTTTGCCCATGATCCAGTTTACCTATATCTAAAACCACAGAATTTGTTAAAATGCCTTCTAAGTCTCCTTACTTTACGGCTTTTTGTAAACTGCAATTCTACAACTAAAGACTACAGTAATCAACTACGTACTGCTTTTTCAGTCATCAAAGGAGCTTGACAGAGACATAGACTGGACTAGACTGAAACTAAAGCTAACTAAATGCTACATTCTAGAAGAAAAAAATGCAGTTATTGTATTTCTGTTAGAAGCACGCTAGGACAAAAAAACAAACACGTTAATCAAGCAAAAGAAGCTGGCAGACACTACGGGGAGGGGCAAGCACGTTGATGAATACCTCACGCCATGCTTACACATTGTAATTAGTGATTCCATCCTTCATTCAAGGTCATCATCCACCCTATATGGGTCCACTCTAGAGGTGGGGTTGTCCAGCTATGGTTGGTTCAACATCAGATGTTAGAGACATGCAGAATATACATTATGTAGACTACAATGTACGTCATGATCCTTCTCAGCTGCCAGGGCTTCATACAACAGCACGCATTTTACTAAGGGATGGTTTGAACTTGCATTTTTGGGACTTGGCAACTGAGAATGACATTGTGACAGTACAATGTAGTTATAGTATCTTCAACAGGATATATTTTCCTGTGTTTACAATGTACAACCAAGGAGGTTGAAACAACTGAGTGTGTCCTTTCCTTTGTATGGCACCATTGATATTACCTACCTGAACCATTTTTATGCTGTTTTCCATGTAAAATGCCTAGTACATGCATGTGTTTTGTGCTTATCTTTTGTTTGATTAGCACATCGGCAAAACATACTGCACCTGCGCGAAACCTGTAATGTATTGTGCATAGCACTTCAGCAGAACGTCTCGTATAAGGTTGTATTCGCATATTTCAGGTTAACACCCCGTCTGTAGTTTTCAAATGTCATGTCGGAAAAGATATCGTCTGCAACTGGCAAAATTCTGAGGCAATGTTGACCAAACAACCAACGAAAACTGTGAAAAATCAGGGTTTTGTGCAGGCGCAGTACGTTCTTCCGAGGTGCTTGTTTGGTTGATTGTCTGAAAGGTTGAAGTTTAAAGTTGAACTTACTGCCTCCATCTCTGTCTCGGTGTAGAACCTCTTGAGAATGTGGTTCCTGAAGGGGATGAGGAGGATGAGGAGGAAGGGGAAGGCCAGCGCCGCCTGGGTGGACTTCACAATCCACAGTAGGGTGATGAACACCAGCTGGATCACTGTGAAGATGTGGATCTTCCGCGTTTTCACCTGGAGGAAAGAAGTGAGAAACATTAGAACAGGAGGCTACCTTCTTGGGCCAATGGATTAGAACAGGGGTGTCAGCAACCTGGGTTGACCTCACAACCCACAGGGCAGCAGGTTCTGACGCAAACCATATAATCTGAAGCATAGTCATTTGACTCACTCAGAGTTTTGTGTTTTTCAATGACAAGTTACAACACAACTGAAACCAACTGGCACAAGTTGCAGCTGTTCATCTAAACTCTTATGATCATGATTCAAAGAATTTTGATTGAAGAATATCAGTTGAAGAGAAGGCAAGGAAGACAAGACAGTTTTGCACTTGAATACAATTCTTTTTTTAACATACACTCTATTAAGGATAAAACAACTAAATTTCAAAGAAACACTCCTTATGTTGTTAGAGTAAACTATTGAATGTATCTATAAAAAGTTATGAAAAATGGCATACATGACTTAGCCTACTGCCTACCTTTCTGACATATCTCACACTGCTAGGATGGTGTTTAGGAGGCATGAACATGAGGCCGATCCTCTCAAAGATCTGTGTAGCTGCGAGAGACGTGATCCCCAGGTATAGGAACACTCCAAACAGCACAGCTAGAGGGATTCTCCTTAGTACAGGCTGCAGGGTCATGGTTATTCCTGTACAGAGGCAGGGTAAAACGGTAAGGAGAATGTATGCTTTGATCACATTTTAGCTCAATAGCTAGCTCTTCTTCCACTGGTTATGACGAGGAGGATAGATATGTACACATGTGAATAAGTCCAATTATTCATAAATATGCATAAGGGTTTGAACAGATACAGTAACTGTAAATCACGATTTTTTTCGCGGTACTTTGATATTTTGCTGTTTTCATGGTCACTTCTGTACCGCAAACTTATCATTACCATGAACAACTACAAATGTAATTTGCCTACTTCCTTTTTTCTGCACCTGCCACCACCATGAACATAATATTATAGTTTTGTGAACACCTCCATTTTCTCAGACTGCAAAATTTTGCTACCGCGAACATTAAGTGATCATGATTTACAGTTACTGTAGTTTTTATGTGTGATCTACACATGAGTAACAGTTAACTCACCCATCATAATATGCACCAGCAGGTTGGTAAGTCTCTGTTCCTTCACTGACAGCAGTTTGGGTTTCTCACCGGGCGCGTGGGTCTTACTGTACACCGTCAGGCTCTCGAAGTGCGACACAGACCGAACTGTCGCCGCACACATCCACGGGAGCCCGAAGAACCCACTGATCGCGACGGTGCCGCAGATCAACAACAGGTCCAGGTGATAACCAGAACCTTTCTTCAGGTTGTTCTCCTTCTTGTTGATAATCATCCTGCAGGGACAAGAAGAGGAGTTTGTTTTGTTAGTTTGTTAGATCCTTTGCTTAGTTTATCTGTATATGTATAGCCGGTATAACTGCCCTTTGGTGTAACACACCCGTTCAGCTTATGTATCTGTATAGCCGGTATAACCACCCTTTGGTGTAACACACCAGCTTCACAGGCAAGCGGCGTAGCAGCAGCTGGCTTTAATATACCAAACAACCTGTTACATCCAATCTTTGCATATCTAAATGCAAGAGTTGTTTATAGCTTTCTAGATAAGTGATGATGCCTTAACTGTACTTGATGGCAATGTTTATGTGTGAAATATTAACATCAGCTGGCATGGTCGCTTTCATTGAGGTCTTGAAGGAAGAAGTGATGCAAGACATTTCTTGAAAACTTTCTACTGGGAAGCTGTCATCTGTACATGTGCCTCTTTAATAAATTCACTCATGATCAGTGCAAGGCCAGAGGGATACTTGATTGCTTTTCCCAAGGACACAACATCTGGGCATGTCAGGGCTTTGACCCTTGAACACTATAACCAATCTGGGACACAATGCCACCTGACCACATGCATGGCCATGTGTTTAACACCCCTGCAGCTTGTTTTCCATGTGTACCATGTGTGTAAACATCTCCGTGACCTTGTTTTTAACTGCCCCAAGTGACATTTCTGGGCCACCAGGTGTTTCTCACTCTCACTCAGGTGTTTGCTGTAATAAATTTTCCCAAGAAAAGTTCTAGAAGGTCCAATCTGGAGAATTTTACATTTTTACAGCCTGCAATTTAGATCTTCAGATTAAGATTTTCAATAACAACTCTGTCTAAACTAGAAAAAGCATGCAATGATGCTACTACTAGCTACATTGTACATTACATTAATCTAGACTAAGTACAATCTACAGTACACATAGATTCTAAGGCAAACATGACCATAGCCGATGAGCTAGCTGTTCTAGTAAAAAAAAATTTCACATTTCGTAACAATGGAAAAAGAAATCTTGTACACAACAAGTCAAAGACATACGTTGTACATATAAATCTAAAGGAGTTTTTAACTCACTCAGTGATCTGTATCTCTATAAACAGTAGGATGTAGACCAGGAAAGCTGGGATGACGGCAGCGAAAATGGCCCAGACCTGGATGGTCTTGTCCCTCCCCATGGGGTTGATGATCCAGCTGCGATTTGATTCGGTGGGAGTGAAGCCGTCAGCAGGGACCTTCAGTTTCTAAAACAGGTAGGTAAGGTAGGTAAAGGAAGTCCTGTAGCATTTTTAGGCTGTAGGGGCAGTGGGTTGTTGATCCACTTTGTATAGGGCACGGTATTGGAAGGTGAAGTTAGCTACCCATTTTACACCTGGGTGGAGTGAGGAAAGTTGTGCCTTTTCCCAGCATACAATGTCTGGCCAGGAATCGAACCTGCAATCTCACTGCTTTTGTGTCTGCTGGCTGGATTACCATCAGCTATTTGCCATCACCAAGAGAGATGAAAAAGAATCAACAAGCTAACATTGCTATTTGACAGAAAACAATATAATTCTTCTGTTTATAAAGATTATTTTACCTGTGTATAAACATCCTGGAGAAAGAAGTCGATGCAAACCATCACCACTATGGCAATCAGGAGACCAAAGTCTCCCAGACCTCTCCTGGCCTGCAGAGAGAAACAAATACAATCTATTCAGCATTATGAGTCAATAAACCTGCTACCTGTAACAGTTTACAACAAAAAATTATCTTAAAGATGGATCAAAGAGGACCAGAGACGTAAAACGGATAGTGATTGTTTGAAAAGTTGGATAAAGCTATAAATTAGGACAAAGTCCAATTTTTTTGTGTAAATGGAATTTACAGTCAAATCCTGCCTTGCACAACAATTTTATACAGCAACTGTGGATTACAAACTGGACATAGACCAACATTAACTACATTTATTTTTTGTAATGGAAATTAAAGTTAAATGTGATTCCAGCAATGTTAAATATAGCAGCCAAGTAAGAGCTGTATAGGACTCACTCCACGACTGAGGAACTTGCTGTTCTTGAACTTCCTGAGAAAATATGCGATGAAGAACGTCCCGAAGCACAGTATGGTGGACATGAGCGCCGTGTTGGGCTGGTTCTTTGTCGGATCCACCGGAACCTGGCACCACCGGAACCCGGCAGGCAGCGGCATTCTCCTGGTGTCGTTAGCGCGAGGGTTGATGTAGCAGTCCAGCGTGGGGTACGTGGTGTTTACCAGGAGGGACCCGTTTCTGTTGTATACTGGAGCCACAGAGTCGTTGTAGTAGCAGTCAGAACGCAGGGGGTTCTTGGTATATAACTGAAGAAGGGTGGGGGGGGGTAATGATTAGAGCTACAGATTACAGAAATATACCCAGTGTACATTTCGTTTATAGGTATTTTAAGATGGAACAGGACATTCTGTTGATAGACAGATGCTACTAAGTTCAAACCACTGACTTTTGACCGTCTGTGTAACTCTCACTGTTCACTATAAACTCAATCTCCCATAAGATTGTTGTTCAGTTTTAGATGCTTTAGTGCACAAAAATTGTAACATGTAAAGTAGATAATTGTAGGCTAATTCATTGACCCACAATTTGGAAAACAGTTACTGGACTGCTCAGTGATTTTCAATCTAGCTCTGTTTATACCTTGATGTTACAGAATGACTACAGACCTTGGACAGAAACTTGAAGACTTCGTAGATGAAGATGAATGAGATGAGGAAGGCGAAGACCTCCTCAGTGAAGCGTGTGACGTAGCGGACGAACACGCCGCCCTCGAACGCCACGGTGATGATACAGATGACCAGGATCCACAGCCCGATCCACAGCCGCCACGTCATGAACTCTATACCGTTACTCTCACAGAACTGCAGGGGAAAGGGACACAAACACTCAACATAAGTAATCCACGTCATGAACTCTATACCATTACTCTCACAGAACTGCACAGGAAAGGGACATAAAGATAAATATACAGTAAGTAACAAAGTAAAAATGTTAAAAGGTAGCCTTCAGCACAGTAACCATAAGCATCAATTGTTGTATGTAGCAATTTGGCTCACTTTGGTCCATATTTTCTTGATACTTGTACATGGTACATGTGTTGTGTACATGACATTGTATATCTGCACATCATATCTGATTCACTATCCGAAAAGACACATAATTATGTATAATAATCAAATTGTAGGAAAAGGGTAAGGGTATATAATGAGCCAATAATTGAAAAATGTGCCTAGGATGTTTCAGAGGTTATACAATCATACAGATCAAAGTAGTCCTCAAACCCAAATAAACTGTGACACAAAGCCCCACCTCATACAAACTCTGGTCGTACACCAGGAAGGGTCCCGTAGCTGCGATGATGATGATGGGCTGCCCTGCCAGCAGGGAGAACAGCCCGCCGCTGATCGCCGTGGCGATGATCATCTCTGACACCCCGATGTGGTTATGTGTTTTATCACCTGGAGAAACACGGGTTTTGTTTATTGTTTATTTGCACATGCAGGCGAAAGGAAAAACAAATAAGATCAAAAATAATTATTATATAAACTAAATAATACCAGTAACATCTGTAAGTATGTACAATGTCAAGCATTATCCCTATCTGTTATTACCAAGACACAAGATACAAATGCAAAGGCACGTGAGGACAAAGCTCAATGTGATCACAAATACTTGAATTAGACCAATTTATTGTGTTCGAAATAACAGGTTAAACTTGCTTCATAGGATGATGGACAAATGCTTAAGGGGAAAAAAATCAAGCCTAGCCTTTCTGCAAGAAGCTAATAGGTTAAAGATGTGCCACAACTTTACTGTGTACCTGAAGGGAAAACGGTAAAACAAATGTCTAACTCACTGAGTAAGCCGCCGAATGTGATGACAGGCGTGACACAGGTGAAGAAGATGAAGAAGAAGGCCATGAGGCACTGGAAGTTCAGCCCGTCCACAAAGTCGCTGACGTAGTACGGGAACCTCCGCTGGATGTCCCTCTTCAGCCCCCCGAAACACTCCCCTGTCCGCTTCAGGGGGTCGTCTTCTGGTTCATGGGAGTGTGCTGGGATGGGAAGTCCTGGGGACATAATGTATAGAATGGTTAATTCCATGTGCAACAGGGTAGAGAGACTCCAATCTGGCAAATCCCTGATTCCTTAGGGTGAATCCCTGATGGCAACTGGAACCACTTTTTGGTTGCCCTTAGATTGTTTTTTCCAATCATCAAGAATCCTGGGTATACAGCCCATTTTGTCTACTACTTTGTCTTTGCCGTGTGGTCTGTAACTTTATGTCATGTTTGGCTGTATATTATCTTCAGTTATCAACCTACCACTTCACCTGAACAAACTCTTGTTTCAACATTATCTGTTTTTCTTTTACTTTTCTACAACCTACATAATAATCCTTCTACTTGTAGTAGCAGATGGAAAAATTATCTTATTAACAGCAACAAATAACACATTTTTCTTTCATATCTGCTGATTGCAGAAATAGTCAATATATCAGATACATTTACTAAAATTCATCTAACCTTCTGTCTCCTCCAGCAATTTTCTTCTCTTACGAAGTCGCTTCCTCTGCAGCCGCGCGATGGGCTCCAGCAGTCGCCTGTCGAAGTCCCCGGGCGGCAGCACGATACTGTCCCCCAGGACCTCGTTAATCCCCCGCAGAAGGTCGCTCCGATCGTCCGCTCTGTACGCCATCTCATGGAAGGTCTGAGGGGGAGGAGTTATAGAAAAAAGGTACAAAGATGAGTCTTCAAGATTGCTTAGGGGCATTATCACATTAACATTCCTTGACTTAAAGAAGCTAGTCTTCTGTAGGTACTATACATTGTACATAGGCATGTACCTCTCAACAGCTACATGCAAATGTAGTTATATGACGCCATACATGTACATCTGTATGGCAGTATCCTTTCGTCAGTATTGATGACCATTATAAAATACTAATTTTTAACCACGCCTACAGCTTCAGGCTTTGCCTATATATGGATGAACAGTCCTATACGAGAATGACAGTCATTCGTCGATGAAGGTTAGACATCCAGGTAATACGATACGCCAAAAAGCAGTTACTCAAGCAATTGGATATGATTTTTGAAAACGTCAGACGTTTCAGCTAGTATCCACTAGCTTTCGTCAGTGACTGAGAGACCAGAGGGGAAATGCAGGTTTATAACCACAACCTATTGATTGATATGCAAATAAAGTGAAGACAAATTTTTGGAAGTCGAAAAGGGAACAAAAGTCAGACAAGTCAAGACAAGATGATGCAAATTAGTCTGAAAGCTCCTGTTATACAGAACAGGAGCTTAAGTGTTGTCTGTCCTCGGGGGCTGGGAGTGCCAAATCCCAAGTCTCTCAGTCACTGACGAAAGCTAGTGGATACTAGCTGAAACGTCTGACGTTTTCAAAATCATATCCAGTTGCTTGAGTAACTACTTTTTGGCGTAATGACAGTCATTGTTTGTTGAATGAATTCTATATTTTTCTCTATCATTGTACAAAACTTAGTATAATTTCCTGCATTTGGAGCTGTCTCCTTAATTACCTCATTCGCCATGAGTGTGGATATGGAGCGCCCGATCTCGTTGTAGTCTGTGACTCCACTGCTGGGACCCAGCAACACAAACAGGAACCTCACAGGGAGGGGCACGGCAGTCAGGGTGCCGATCTCTGCTCCCTGAAGGTAACACAGTAGGGACCTTCTATACCATATCATTTTTGTAGTCAAGGACTTATCAGCATTACAGAATGCACTACAATTCCTGCATACTCAACAACTAATTTGATACAATACTACTCTGAGCGCTGTATAGACCACAATGCATCTTAACACACAAAGTCTTCTACAAAATTGTAAATACAAAACACACGTTCTTTTAAAATTTACTTCCCTTCTCATGTACAATATAATGTAGCCTTTTGGAACCAAATACATATTTTAAGTAGTACAATGTAATAGTTAGGCAGCAGGGAGAAGCTTAACTTCCACTATACAATGTATGTACTACAGCTAAACCTACAGAAAACTACTGGTAAAGACTTGCTGCCTTAAACTGTAATCAATAGAGACTTAGTAGCCAAACAACTGTCTACTTCAGTATGCTAAACGTAAATTTCTTGGTTCTTCAGTGCCTTACCCTAGCCAGCCTAACAAAGGCCATGGTAGGTTTCTCCAGGAAGTCCACGGCTCCCACGAGTACAGTGGTGGCCTCCGCATCTTCCGGGATCTTCTTCAGGATGGGAACCTTGGCCTTGATGTCCATCTGTGTGCTCTTGGTGCTGAGGGTGGACTTGGCTGTGGGGGACTTGTGGATGGGGGGAGGGGTGATGGGCACTGGAGCTGAGAACTGGAAAAGGAAGGTGTTCACTTTTACTGTACATTTACTTGTAGGAATATTGAAAATACTTTTGAAAAAAGCTGAGCTAAAATGTTTTTTAAGTTATGGACACTAGAACAGTAAGCTGGAATAATGCAAAACATACAAAATGCACTTCTTCTTGAACATTGAATGTAACTTTTGAAGAAACACTAAACTGAAACTTTGCATATTTTAGTACAGATCAAAGTACATAATGCAACGAAAATATGTAAACTTTGGTATAACTGTGTTGTTTAATCCATAATACTAGTAATCAGTGTGCATACATGTACAATGTATGTGTACCTTTATTCCTAATTCAAAAGTCTTAGAAAAAACAACACTGTGACAGTGGTTCAGTAATAAGATAGTAGCTAGCCCCCGGGGTTTGGCAAACAAGAAAACAAGTGGCAACAACAACATTTGTAGACGATCCTACCTGGTTGTTGTTATCCGGCAGGTTGACCTTCAGCCCTGCCTCCTTGGTGTCCAGACTTGTAGCGGAGGGACAGCCGGCCGAGTACTGACTGGCTGACGCCATGCTGTCCTCACGGTGGCCCAGGAAACCCAGCAGGCTGCCTGATGAGAAGTTGTACGGGATGACCTTGTGACGCTTCTTCTGGTACAGATGGCTGGAATGGAAAACAGGAATATTTAAACAGTTGGTATAACCTGTAGTTATTGATGTAACAAAAATTATGTACAATTGTTCAATGTTAAGAATCAACAAAAGTTTCTGCTTTCTGTTTTTCAATCATGAGAGCAGTAATCTATGATCCCTGTACTTGAAGTTTGGTCATTTCGAGCTAGATTTGATCTTTAACACTATCCCTCCTGTCAAAAAATATCTATAATTCCCCTACTGTACTTGGAGGCAGTGACTTCCACTCTATGATAGGCTTGATAGGCAGCACAGTGTTTCATCTCAATTCCCCCTAAGACGCCCTGTACATGCCAACAGTCCCTGGTACCTGTGTTTGAGTAGCAGAGCCCTCATAATATCTCCCCTGTCCTCAGGTCGGACCTGGTCTGTGATAATCATGTTCTCTACCACGTGGTGCATAATGTTGGGCAGCTCTGTTTCATTCAGGTCCAACAGCACTGAACCTGTATGGGGGGCAAGGAGAGGAAAATAACTGTGAAACTGCAATACCCGTGAACTCTATAAATCTAGAGGTCTGAGATATTGCCTTGACAGAATTACATTGAAGTTCATTCTAGTAATGTTGAAGAATTCTGATATAAGCAACTCAGAACATCCAGAAGTAATATCCAGTATTTTAGCCAGAAGAAGAGTTTGAATTGTCCATAAAAGATGGATATTAACCAACATCAGGGTGTAGGTACATACATGTACATGTACTGGTACGTCACATAATGTACCAAAATGATTTTATTTTACAAATCTGTGATGCTACAAGCCTGTGATCTTGTCATGTTCAACATATTTTTATTGTTCATTTTTTTCCAGTGCTTTATATATACTGGTGTACATTTCTAGTTCTTTCTAGTGAGGCTGATGAAGATCGAAGAGTGACAGATGACACTCAAAACGTTTATCATTTATCCAGTAGCAGAGTTTACATTGCCCACCTTGTTCCAGCCCATTCCTGAGCTCCAACAGACAGAACAAGTTTTTACAAGTCATTATTCATACAATTATCAGTGTTCTAGCCAACATGAATTTTTTGGCTGCTATGTGCATGGAAACTGCTTACTGTTACTGTACACTACAGACCTTGTTCCAGCCCCTTCCTGAGCTCCAGCAGACTGTGGAAGGAGAGTGAGGAGACGTGAGGTTTTCCCCAGCGCTCTGCTCCCTGCTGCACGTCCTCCTCAAACTTGATCCAGCGAGCGCTCTCACACCACACGAGCTCCTGCTGTTCCCCCTCACCTGAGGCGTGCAGCGTGTCCAGCTCTACAAACACCTGCGCAGGTGGGACAAGGTTTAATACATTATTAATACCTTCCTCAGGGTAATTCTGGGCTCCAACAGTTGAATAAAGTCCTTGTCTTCTAACATGTTTACCTTTTTTGGGCGGGAATGGGGGAACGCTTCTACAGCAGCAACACCTGTACTGTGTAGTATAAAAGTTGAATAAGGAGTCTTTTCTACAGCCGACATTTTGGTGACTGTCTGCCACCTTCCTCAGGGCAATTCTGACTGGTTCAAATTTCACAGCACAGGCGTTGCTGCTATAGATGTGTTCCCCAAAAAGGGAAAAAAACTGCAAGTAGAAACTTAAGGGCTGAATTCTGTTGGTGCCAAAATATATGTATTGAGCATTTTTTGGTTGATTCCTATCCTAAGTATGCATTCTTCTTGCATACATTACATAACAGGCAGGACTTTATCTTTTGTTATCTGGCAATTGTGTGTACCTCATGAGGACTCTTGTCCCAGGTCTTCTTGGCCTCCACAGAGATCTTCTTCTGAGGTTTGCTCTGTTTCCCGATGTAGACCATGGAGCTGACATTGGGCTTCTTAATCCTGTGTCTCCGACGACCCGGAACGTCTTCTAGACGGTGACCTGTAAGGAGGAAGAAGGAGGAAGGATTCGTCATCTCTTCTTCGTCCTAAAAAGAAGAGGTAGGTTGTCTCATAGGCATAGCCTATATAGCAGAGCAGATTCACTCCTCAAGCTATCCGACAGGGTACGTAGCAAGACAGGATTTATCATCTCTTCTTGGTAGAAAAATGGGAAAGGTAGTCCCATAGTCTAGAGTAGAAGCCTTAGGGATTCATTCCTCAAGATAACCAACGGGCAAGCATGACAGAATTTGTCATCTCTTATTAGTAAAAAAAAATAAAGGTAGTCCCATAGTCTGTCTCTCTATATATACTGGTAGCAGAGTGGATTCATTCATCAAGCTTACTGACAGGGTAGCATGACAAGATTCATCATCTTTTCTCGGTAAAAACAGAAAAGACATTTAGGTAGTCCAATAGTCTATATTAAAGTGGATTCATTTCTCAAGCTAACTGACAGGCTAGTGTGACAGCAGGATTTGCCATCTCTTATTTAATAGTAAAAAAGATTAAGGTAGTCCCATAGTCTATAGTAGAGTGGATTCATTCCTCAGGCTAAGCAACAGGCTGGCACAACAGGTTGTTGTGAGCGCTAAATGGGAACTACATTGCATATGCAGCTTCAGATGTCTTACTGAGGGACGACCGTGGTGTGATACTAATAGATGTCGGTTAGTTTGAGGAATGAATCCACTCTACTACAAGTGTATATACTGGTAGTCCCATAGTCTGTTCGAGGTCAAATTACCAGTGAATTAACATTGTTAAAATCCACTGTACAGCTTGGGTCCTGGATTCTACCATCTTCCCAAAGACTGTTGAATTAACCACTAACATCATTCATTTATGAATCTGCATGAAAAAATTCTGTCCACTCACTGATCATCTCGTTAAGATCTGGTGTGAGAAGTTGCTGAGCCTCCTCGTGTTCCGTCGGCATCTTGTGGTAGATCTCAGCGTCCATCTTAGTCATACTGCCGATACGCAGTCTGTCCATCGGGGTGGGCACCTGAGGGGGAGGAGGATTGGTTTATTGGGAGATATTCAACACAATCTGACATCTTTTTTTACACAAACAAGTCTTTTATCCAGCCGACATTTCGGTGACCATCTCTGGTCCAATGGCCACTGACCACTACAATTCAGGCTGGCATAACTAAAAAGACACTTTGGGACATCAGAATATGTCAGGCACATGTCGGGCACATTTCCTGTCTACTCTGCAATCATAATGTGCTTCAGGGAGTGAACATAAGCAAAATAAAGTTGACTTCAAGTTGAAGTCATACACTACTTCCCAAAAACAGGTTAGGACAGTTCATCCCACTTCGGGACAATTGAAATTTATTTTTGGGACAGTGTTGGGACAATCAGGAGAAAAGTTAATTTCGAGGCCTGAGCTTCTTTCATGTAACATATTGTATATAGCTTCACCTTCTTGTGGTGATGATGATGATGACCGTGGTGGTGTCCATGGTGATGTCCATGATGATGTCTGTGGCTTTTCTTCTTGAATGAGTCCTTGTTGTAGGATGCTTCCCGGAAGTGTGGGATCTCACTGAAATTCACAAAGGTTGAGATTATGTCATTGTGATGCATTTAGTTTGACACTATAGTATTGGCAACAACTTGAAATTTTATTGTATTCAGTACATATTGACTTAACAGAAGCTGTTCATTCCTTGATTAAGACAAATACAATTCTTGTCCTATGTTCAACCCAGACAAATAAATCTGAATGACCCCAGAAGTATTTCCAGAATTTCAAAGTGTTTTGGGCTCTTTTGGAATAGTGTAGTATCCAAAAACGGAATAGTTCTAAAACAATGTTAACAGTGACATCTACAATGTGGCTTCAGTGCACAGTGAACAAGTCATAATTGATGAAGATGACAGACAGTCATCGAAACATCAGCTCTTGTTATATACATTTGTAAACAGGTGGTTGTGAATAAAGAACTTTGTTATTTATTCATTATTCAGACATATGGAAAGAAAGACCACACCAAAACTTACTTGATTCTGTCCTGAGCTTCTGAAGCCTGAGCCTCTGCATCTGCAGTCTTCACTAGGTCAAACACTGTGGCAGTCTCCTCATCTTCCTCCATGTCTCCTCCTATTATAAACTACGAATAGACAAACAAAAGATTGTCTTTTTCTTTGATGTAAGGGCTGGCTTCTTTGGAGGTGGTGAGTAAATAATATGATCTTGTAATAGTTAAAGACACAATATTTGGGAAGATAAAGTAGTTTTGTCATACTTTGTTCTTTATTCATTTCTCTCTCTCTCAATTGTCAGTCAGTCTCAAAGATCAGTTACATTTCTACAAGGATATCAATATATTAATGATAATGATGTTAAAGTGAAAAAAAAACATGCAGGGGAGAGGTCAGAAACCTGCTTTTCTAGAGCCTCCCCCTGAGCTTGAAATATGAGAATGCTACTAGCATTGTTTGTAGGTTTACATATAATTATTAAGATACTTACTGTTGCTTTTTTCTGTGGGCCTGTAGCATCTTTGTCTCCCGTGTCTCCTGCCGCCACTGAGTCAGCCCCGTCCAGCGACTTCTGTGAGCCTTCACGATTCTTCAGGACCGAAGAGTTCTTAAGGATGCTCTTCAGTTCTTTGTTGGAGTTCTCTCTACTGATGTCACCCCTCAGGAGGGCAACCTGACTCGGAGACGGGCGGACTTTGGAGTCTGCGTCTGAGTCACTTTCCCTTCCAGAGTCCTTCCGAGCTAACACTTTCGCCAGAGCAGCCTTGGCACTTCCTGAGCTCTTCAGAGATTCTTTGGACGAACTTGTCTTGGGCGGGGCCTTTGTTTCAGGTTCTTCAGCAGAAGTTGATACCCTTGATGGTTCTTTAGGTGGCCTTTCTTCCAGATCAGCACTTTTAGAGCCCGTGGGAATTTCTTGGACACATTCGTGGTAAGATGGCGGAGCTTCGTGAGACTGTGCAGGAGAAGGTGGTGCCACAGACGGTTCCTTGCTGAGCTTTGTCGCCAAACTCTCCACACTCGCAGCCTCCACTACCAAGTCAGGAAGACCTCTCACCGCCGTCTCATACGAATCCGTTCTGACAAGGGAAGCCTTCCTGTCTTTGGGCGGTTCAGCTTTCTCCTCTGTCTCCTCTCCAACATCTTCAGATTCCACTTCTACGGTAACTGTGGTTACATCACGAGGCGTCTCCTCTTCTCGCGGAGGTTCCACGCGAGGCCGCTTGGGTTCTTTGGTGGGTTTGGGAGCGTCCTTCTCCTCCGTCATGGACAGCCCCTGGGAAGTCCTTGCCGAAGGAGGGTGAGGAGTATCGGCGGTGGATGTGGGTCTTGAGAGGATGGTGGACGTGGAGATGGACATTCCTGTGGGCTGTGATAACAATATTTCAATCAATCAATCAATCAATCAATCAATCAATCAATCAATCAATTAAACCATTCATTTGTGCTAAAACAGGATACTGGCAGCACTTAAACTGTACGCAACTCATTTCATACACTGGATAAAATAGAGGAGGAAAGTTCATAAGTGGAACAGGTTTTTCTCTGAACAACTTTATCCTGAATGTTTACCTAAAATCATTCCACAAAAAGATATACAATGTTGCAAACAAGTAATGAATACAATCCAAGGCAACCGGTTATCCAACAGTTTTGCCACTGAAACAACAAAATACTAGTAGTTGCTTTATCCTGGGAGTTTACCTGACAATAAAGACAAATTGTGAGTTTTTGTCAGCCATTGAAACACACCACATATCACACCACATAACATATCAGCCCCTTGATATCAGACTCTTGAAAATGAAGCCTGTGACACAACAGACACACAAGTGGTATAAGAAAATGCAGCAGAAGCGAGTTAGTTAGCCATTGCCAAAAAGCGCCCGGCAAGCAGATACAGAAGTGTCCTGAGACAAGAGAGACTTACTTTCCGGACTGTCCCAATCAAATCTTCTAGTGGGGCGGGGGCTAGGGGTGGGGCAATCTCTGATAATGGGGAGGGGGGAATGGGGGGCCTCTAGGGGTCAGGTGGAGGGGTGGTCATAGTGAGAAAATGAGGAAGAAAAAGCACCAAGGAAAAGAAAAGCAAGTCACAAGTTGAATAAGATCTAAACATAGAGACACTGATTAAACAAACCGATCATCATTGATAATTATGACCAATAAGAGGAATTTTTTATTAATTGGCAAAGGCATGAAAAATTGATGTAAAAGCTCTCTGTGGGTCAGTTAAGTGGACGCTCTATGGTATAAGAAAGAATGAGCAAAGGAAGAGAAAACAAAATAAGAATATGCCAACAAAAATATCCGTAAATAATTTCATCAGGTTGGTAAATGATTGAATATCAAAGTTCTTTATCAACAAACACTTGCCTTTTGAAGATGATAGCCAAAAGTTTGTTAGCTCCTGTTAAACAAATGGTTGTGAACTAAGAAGCTATTTAATCATTCACCAACCTAAAAAATTATTCACAGATTGAAACAGATTAGATCTTAAAGAAAACTTACCTTGATAGTCATCTTCATCCACATGCAGTCGTTTAACCCTGGGACTGCTGCGGCTGGGCAGGGGGGAGGTTGTGGGCAGGAGAGAGAACTTCTCCACTGGGTTCATCACCTTGTTCATCTGGTCCTGCAGTGATGGGTGCCTCTGCCGGGGGGCGCTGCTGCTGGTGGTGGTCTCAGCCATGGCGCCGCCAACCTCAGCCTGGACCTGGAAGTACAATCAAATGACAATGTATGTGTTGGGTAGGGATTGTGATCTGACAGAATCACCAATTATATCAGTAGCGATCCTGATCAAACTGTTTCTAGTCTTGCCTCAAGCTGTTGGTTGCCTCTACTGTTGCTGTTGCTCTAAGACATTTTTGAACACTTTAATCCTGGGTTGATAACTCTGGAGTCACATAGCAAGGATGTAAGTAGGTTATTTAAACTAAAAAAATTAGTACCTGAAATGTGGCTTTCCTCAAATAGAGTTTAAGTAAACGTCCCATCCTAAAGACTACAACCTAGTATAAACATAGTAGCAGTGAATTGCTACCAAATGGCCCACCACAGTTGGATCCTCCTTCATAGGAAGGAAAGGAAAGTGATCTTGATCCAGGTTTAGTTCACTGAAGAGCTGACCTCCCACTAGTTGTGACAAAGAAGACAGACGCTTTGTACAAAATTTACAGGTTCATTTTACCCCGAGCCCATTTCGACAAGCTGCAAATAGCAGCAGCCTGCATGTCAGGTGAGCAACAACAGCCAACTCCTAACCTCTTGGTCCAGAGGTAGGGTTGCTAAGCACACTACTTGGAAAGTTGCATGTACATTTACCTTTTTCTTGGTACATGGACTGTGGTTGAAGAAATATGGAGATATATCGTCAAGCTGAATGCCTAGCGTCAAGGAAGTCAACATGTTTCACAAGCAGGAAAACAAAGTTACAAAGTTACGTAACTTGAACAGAAAATAATAAAAAAAAAAAACGAAGGGGTCTGCTTTAACCAAGGAGGTTGAAGAGTTGAAAATGGAGAATGATATATTGTGTATAGGCTTAACAGAAGAACTAGAGATAAATCGTAAGTATCATAAATGCTTCGTTTTGTCAGGCCTGGAGACAGGGCGACAGCAAACTTTAAAATTAAAATGTATATCATTAATATTAATGTTGGTGTTGCTGACGTCTTGGTCAGTTTAATACTGATGGAGGACTGCTGTCTTTCCAGTTAGGGACTGTACGATATTTACCGGGGGGAGGGCTGTTGCACTGGGGGGGAGGGCCATTGAAAAAAATTTGGCCTGGGGGGAGGGCCATGGAAAAAATATCTTAACCGAGGGGAGGGCCATCGAAAAAAATCGGCCTTGGGGGGGAGGGCCACCGAAAAAGTTTTCCAAAATATGGCGTCGCGTAGTACCGAATTACAAGAAATACGCCGTAAATTCCAAATCTAGTACGCACTTTTAATACTTTTCCAAATCCCAAAAGTGTCTCGGGCCTTCGCCAAAGTCGGGGTGCGTACTTTATTTGAGGTTTCCTCCCGACAAATCCGTGGACGACCCAGGAATATAGCGGCACACCGGCACGGGGAACTTGGAACGACATCGATCGTCCATAGCATGTTTAGATAAGAATATTGACGAGTGGAAATAAAGTTGAACTTCAATAAATGAACATATTTCCTCTGACTATCGTCGATATTTACACCAAGTTGTGGTAAAAAAGAAGAAGTCAAGTCATCCACGGTAAGAAAATGTTGGTCACTAGCAATGACGCCCGGCCCTCCGCCATGCCGACTGGATCGTTCCCCAGCCAGCCGGCGCCGATCTCAGTGGAACTCCGGCCGAAAATATAACCTCCCGTAAGTACATATAAAATTGTAAGAGGGTTTATGAGTGGTAATATTTGAAATGGTCCGCAAGCCGTGAACGTTTTTTTATTGTCAGTTCTAATGCACTTGAGTCTAACTAAGAAATCTTCGACAAAGATTATACCCCATGTAGTTTCAAAGATTCTGTTGACAGAAATTGTTATCCATGTTTCATTTCGTATCACAAATCTTTTTAAGTCTTGATAAACGCCTCAGGAAATTACTTTGTAGCGGGCTATACCAGCGAGTGCAGTGCGACGAAAAAAATGCCAGCTAGATGTACTCTCCCACCCGACTGTTCGGCAAGCTACAATGGGCGGAGTTAACTTAAAATGTAGTCTTTGATAAAAGGCCGGTGGGTGGGGTGTTGGGCGCGCCGACAGGCAGCCGCAAAGTACACCACCAGCTAAAGAACAAAGAGGGCCGTGGCAGCGCTGAGGACAGCTTTCCAGAACCTGGGCCCCGGGAAGGAAGTCTTTCTTTCCTCTGAACAGAATGTACTTATAGGTTTTACGGAGTACAAATTAACACATGTGTTTATTCCTTAGAAGTGTAACTGTTTATTCCTTTGATTTTGTGACAAAAACATCAATCACATTACGAGAGATTATTCGATTCCAGTAGTCTTTTGTTGTTTTTGTTTCGGTGGCAAATTTTTAATTCGGCAGCACCTCTACAGTAGCATGAATACTCCGCCCAGTTCTCCGCATCGATGATCGTTAATTAATTGCTCTCCATGGGTAGATCGGGCGGGCGCTATTTTAAGTGTTCGGTGCATTTCTTATAGTAAAAAAAAACAAAGCTACGTACTTGTGCATCAACATTCAACTACCCCCCGCTACTGATGAAGTCAATATTGAAATACGGTCTTTTTTTCACGAATCTTTATTGACCATTGCTCTCTTGATCACCAACACTCTCCGGGATCCAAAGCTGTACGTTTCGCCGCACTTGCCTTACCTTTCGATGCGGTGATGACGTCTTGCAAGTCGGCTGCGGCCGGCGAAAACAAGCCCGAACATGGAACGTTTCCCGCTACGTTACCTCAGTCGAACCGCAGGTCACCGTAGAACGCGTTATTCTCTAAGATACGGCGTTTGCCGGGTCACGATTTGACCCCGTTGCATGGGTGTAAACAACTGCCAATAGTGCAGCAAAAAGACCTCAGACCTACAAAATGTTTACATTTTTTCACATCTACAGGATTTGCCCAGTACAACCATGTAGATATTTCGTGTATTGCAAAATGACAGCGAGCGCTACGGCCTTCCAAAAATTAACAATTTTTGGTCACTTTATTTGTGCTTGTCTTTTTTGCTGTTCAACTGGATCCCGTTGGCTAATACCATATTGTGATAGCCCACTTCTTTACCTTTAGATTGATACCAATGACCCCTGGTAAATTTTATGGCAAACGGGTTTGCCTCCAAAAAAACTGTGACGATGCGCACATCGCGGTGGTCAAATTTAGCCCAGTTGTAAGCTACTGACATACACCATCCTGACTTTCCGCTACATTTTGATACATTTCGCGTAATGTCATAAAATTCGTTTCTTGGTATGAGAAACTGTTTGAATGTGGCTACCACATGCAATATAATACGTGATATGATAACATTCAATTATATACAAAAAGAGGAATTTAATACAAGGTTCTGACCATTCAAAAATCGTCAAATTGAAGTCAATCGGTTTCGAACTCCTGCGTTCGATCCATGGAACCAAGGCAGCGCGCCGCCAACAATGTTGCAACTTCAACCGCTGTTTGCGAAAGTTCATAAAAAGAAGGAATCAAGTTTTTTCATCAGAAACAGACTTTCTGAAACCCATTCCAAGTAAGACTTATATCATGAAGACGCTAGAGAAAGTGGGATTCTTGTGCAACTATACAAATGTCAGTACATATGCCCGATG